ATATTTTTACAATCTCTAATTAAAAAAAAAAAAAAAGTATTTCTTACAAGTTTCTGGACTATGTTCTGTCTCTGACCAGCTTAAAAAGCAGTATTTTTATTTTTTCTGATGACAAATTGAATCCTGGTAACCTGAAGTGCGCTTTGGTCTGTTGTCCCGATGCTGTTCTCCAGCCTGAGAAGCCCTGGTGGTCAGCACCGAGCATGTTCAAAGGCGCGCCTGCCAGTTTTCTCCCTGGCAGCACGTAGGCCCAGCAAGCAACTGCTGCGACGCCACGGCTCGAGGACCTCTTGCTCCGCTCTCCTGCTGGTGCAGGGCTGGCTGGGAGCCTGCTGCTGCTCCAGGGAGCAATGCTGGCACAGACTCAAGACGCAGCCTGCCTGCAGCCACTTGTCAAAAACAGGGTGAAGGGCTAGAAGGACTTCGACCTGCCCTAGGATGGCTGTGCCTGCAGCCCCATCCTCCCACAGGAGCAGAAAGTGGAAACCCTCTGGGCCTGGTTTTTGCTCCAGTGAATCCACGTGTGGCAGTCAAACATCGGGCTGTCTCGCCTGCAGCTTTCTGCCTGCTTGCCAGACGCACCAGGGCTGCGGGGAGCTGCCACGGCTGGAAGAGAGGTGCTGGCAGGGCGCGCAGCCAGGCAGCCGTTTCCTGCGGCTGCTGGTTGTGCCTCTCAGCCCGTAACCTAAGTAGGCAGATAAACTGCTCGAGGTGGAGAATGTATCCGCCTAGCAACGCTAGTTTAAAAGAGGTGTTTTCAGGAGAATGAGGCCCTTGATCTCACACTGGTGATATTGCAATATTTGGTGTAATTAGCTCAGTTTTTTAATGGTTTTCTTTAGAGCATTGTTCCTTCTCCCCATTTAATTCTTTCTGACTTTTCTTTGTGTTCTTTTCCTCACAGCTGCCCCCTTCCCTATCGTAACTCTATCATCCTTCTCTACAACCACTCGCCCCTTCTGTCTTAGCTCCTTCTTCATCATTTGCATGTTAAAAAACTCCCCTTGGTTGTGGGCTCTTGGAAAAAACCCGTCTTGGCAGGGGATTCACGAAGCTCAAGTGGAGACGGAAAGTGGCTGCACAGGCAATGGCTCTGCACGCAGCAGAGTCCCCCTTTAGCTGCCCAGAGGCTGAGCGCTTTCTGCCATTTTCTTGGTCTCTCTCTCTTTTTTTTTTTTTTTTTTTAACAGGGAGCTTGAAATGTTCAGAGGAAGCCAAGCTGTGGGAGAGCAGAAGGCTGAGAATGGGAAAGGAATCACTGACTCCAACCCAGGGGAAGAAAACGGGGTTTCAGCTTGATTTTTCTGCCTCTTATTTACCATATTATTTTACTACGAGTTTTCTGGTAACTGGAACATTTAGGAATGTAAGCTCACTAAGATCAACTGAGAGTCCCAGATTTCTTTCAAGTGCATTTGTAGCCACTCATAGAGAAGAGCACAGAAAAATTGTGAAAGTCCTATTTTAATGGCTCAGAACAAGAAGAAAATTAAAGGAGCGTAAACAGTTGTGAGGGGGATTACCTCTTGTGACTTTAGGATCCAAGAGTTTTTTGAACAGCTGGGACTGGCAGCAAAGCAAAGATTTTCATTGCAATTAAATAGATATTTTTGTGATAATCTCCTTTGCCTTTTTCTTGGGAGAATTCATGGGGTTTTTTTTATGTCAAAACATTGCAGCGATAGAGTTACTGAGCTGGAGAAAAAGGGTTAATACAGCAGCAGGTTATCAGGATAAACTGTAGAGAAAGTCACATCAGTTCACGGAAGCCAATATGCAAAGTCACTATGTGATGGTGGAAAGGCTGAAATTATGCCTTTTCATTACTTTAATCAAAATATTCTTTGGATTTGATAGAAGCTATTCAAGCTCAAGTACAAAAACCACTTAGTTAATACTTTAAAAGCCATTCTAAACTTCAGATATGCTACCTCGCAATTCAGTTTGATTGCACTACTCCAGAGGATCACTTTGTGCTGTCGCTGCAGCTCTCACAAAGGACTCAGAAAATGTGCCAATTATTATTTCTGCAAACCCCAGAGAATCCACAGAATCCTTTTGTGTGAATGTGACAAACCAACTTGTCTTGCAAACCATAATCGTGCTAGTAACTCCTAGCTGCTTTGTGCTCTTAATTTCAATCTCCTAAAATGTTTTGATGGGACAATTCACCAAAAGGTGGCCTGTCCCATGTAAATGGTGGTTAAAATGTAGCTCTTGCATGAGAGGTCTGAATGGGGGCGCTGCAGGACTGAACATGCTCAGGAGAAACTCCAAGAACCCAGTTTTCTCTGAAATTTTGTAGTCAAAGGTCTACACAGCCTTCGGAGGAGAAGAAAAAAAAAGTCTAGAGACTCTCTTATAGGCTACTGCTGTTTGGGAGAACCCTAGGTAAACAATATCATAGCATTACTAATATAATAAAACTATAAACATTTTAATTGCCCACTGGTAGCTGTTAGGAACCCGGTCTGAAAGTCTCTCCTGCCTGCAGGTACTGACAGAAGTACCTTCTTCCAGCTATTCCCACTGTCATGCTCTGGCATGTACCTCCTAGTTTCCTAAGAGCGAGCCTATACTAGGATGTATGGGTGAAAGAAGGAGCGTTAAGCATGCATTTTGCACTGCTTTCGCAGAGCGCGCACTGCTGACTTTTAGATCACCAGCTCTCTGCACAACAGGGCCCCCAAACTCCCCAGAGGGAGAGTGGAAACGGCCAGTCCTGTGGTGGGTCAGCAGGGGGACCGCATAATCCATTGGATTCACCAGAAATACACACTGGAGTAACACGAGCAGGCTTTGGCCCTGTCTGAAGTATTTAAAATCCAGCTCTTTGAATGTTAACCAGCAAAAAAATTCAGCGGACAGATCGTGAATAGCACCAGTGCCTGAGAAGGGTTGTCGTAACTTGTGGCCTCAAGTGCTGGTGCTGGGTACAAAGGTCTTCACCAATATTTACACAAACTTGTCCTCTGAGGATCATATTTCAAGTGTACTCAGCTTGTACAGCAACGCAGAATTAGGGACTTAATACCTCAATTTAGCTACTAAAAGGACAACAAGATGTCAAAAGTGAATGTTATGTTTAATCTTTTATGTTCCATTCAAAGCCTTTCTAGGCTGGCACTGTTTTAATTATATGAATACTTTGGTTATCAGCTCTACTAACTCTTAATTGGAATTACATGCTTTGCACTAGGGAGTCTGTCACAAAGTTTCTAATGTAATAACTCCTGATTTCCACAGTGCTTTTCATCTTCAAAATGCTATACAAACATTAACTGAGTTAATTACCTCTCCCAGAATCCCTCAGAGGTAGGGAAGTGTCATTACCCACATGTAATCAAATGGGAAGACTTTAATGGCACACGATGCATTTTCCAGGACAACGCAAAGGCTCAGGGTTGGATTGGGTTCTTCAGGATAGGTGTTTGGGGCTCTCTGGAATGCAACAGAGAGCCTGAAGGGGGGCACAGGGGCTGGCAGGTAGGCAACAGGAGCTCAAGGACCCCTCCTGCAGCAGCAGCTAGAGGCCAGAGGAGATACCTGGAGGTATCACAGATGGGGCTAGACACCTATGTGTAGACAGCTGAGTCCAAGGACAGGGCAAGCATTAGATTTTTGCAGATTTTAGCATTTAGGATCTAGACTGTGGGACTCTGAAGGACCTCCCCCCCCCCCCCCCCCCGCCATACACACACACACAAGCGTCTTCTAGACCATTCATAATACAGAATTATCTACATGCAGTACAGCACTCTCCTTACTGGGTACGCCTGAACAGACATGCACATCTTGTGTTCTCTATGTATTAAGTGATTCCCAAATGCTACAAGTCTTCTATGATTCCACAGCACAAGTTGATACCAACATTGGGAATTTAGCTTCCACATTTCTGAAGGGAAGCTTTAGATAAGAAGACCAGGCAAGCAACGCATTTACTGCAGCGGGAAGCCACTGCTCACTGTCTTTGTGTAATCAGGCCTTTAAGCTAAACAGAACGCACTCACCCACTGAGATGCAAAAATGGGTTCAGAATAGCCATAAATCTGCTCCCAGAGCAGGAGGAAGGACTGCTCTGATCCAGCCCTGCTAGGATCCTCAGTTGCTGGAACGTGAGGCTGCAGAGAAGTAATGGTTGTTTCCTTTCCTGGCATGCTAGAATAAGCTCACCTGCACTTAATCTTGCCAGCAGCCTCCCCTTCAGAGATGCACATTCAAGGAATTAATGGTCCTACAGAAAGAATTATTATTCATGTTGTTTCAGTTCACCTTTGTTACTGTGAAAGAATAAACATAAAAATGACATTAACGTAGATTAATAACGTATCTAATCTTGATGGGTGAGCACCTATGCACAGAAGCTCAAGAGACCTGGAATGATGCTTCCCATGGCAATCTTAGTTTCACCTCATATCTTTCCAGAAGAGTCATCAGAAGTAGAAATACTATACATTTGCACAAGGCTTCAGAGGTATGGTTGTCATGGGAACCATAACTCCTGAACTTCTAATTTTTTAATCAATATAAAATCTGAATCAGAATGCGAGTTAATGTGCTGCAGAGGCTTAATGCTTGATGGATGCCATATTTTTACAGTACAGAAAGTTTGGGATTTTTTGTTATTTTTGCACGTTTTGCTTAGAAGTTGATTAGTTGATGAGTCTATGTAGATTAGACATCTGTTAACCCACATGACACACTACTTCATTTGTTGCCGTTAGCGCTTTAAGTTGGCAAATTAGGAAACAATCAGGGCTAACATGAATCCTAGTTCTTCAGAGATTTACCTGCGAGTCTCTCTATGCGATGTGAGCAGCCCTTTTGACCAACACTAAGAACGGCTTCATTCCCCTGCTAAAATGGATACACTATGTAGCCAATTGCAGAATGGAGAAAATATTCAAAATCATGTGTCCACCTAGCCCTAAGCCTGTCACTCCCATACTTGCTTCAACCCTCTGGGCTCCAGTTCAGTCCTCTTTGTTATCACTGCAGCTATGAAGGTGCGAACAGGCCCGAGTTTAGACTTTTTCCAAGGTAAGATGGCAGAACAAGAGTATAGGTCAAAAAAGAGTGGGGCTTTGGTGTCAAACAGTAACTGCCAAAGTTGCAAGAGACCACACTTCCTTTCTTATGTCTGACAAATCGCCTGTCTGACTGTAGTTCATGCTATCAAAGTTAGTAATCCCACCTGGCAGTTTGTTCTTTCCTCTCTGGTTTGACTCTGATATTCTGAATAAAAAAACCAATGTGTTACTGCCACCAGACACTTTGTTCAACTTCTTTGTGGTGGATTTTCACAAAAAATGTTCCCTGCTAGCAAGATTTAAGAAAGTAAAAAGTGAAATGAGTGAAATGAGTGAAAAGGAAGTATGTGGGGAAAAAAAATCTCTAGCTTCTTACGCAAGACTCCTGTGAAAGAGTATTCATGTAAACCAATATTTTTGTATTACTATTGTACCGCATGTAGGAATAGAAAACACTCTAAAGGGTGAGGCCACAGCCTGTACGTGATTACTGATCTGCACATACCATACAAACTCTTGTATGTTAGTCCTTCAAAATCATATCTTTCCTTTAGCCTTCTACCGCTGACCTCTACGCTGTCTCTTAACATGTCATCTTTGTCAGCTGCACTCTATCTGAGAGATCAGGCATCTCAGAGTTCAGGCTTTTTTCATAGAACTCTGTAACCTGTTGGTCACACCTAATGCGACAAACTTCTGAAATTATTACTTCACTTTACGTATGAGGAGGCTTGGCACATCTGGCTCTTCTCTTTGGTAGAGCTGCTTATCCATCTGCTTGTCGTACATTCATGTAGAGGCATGAAGAAGGGTGGATCTTGAGAACTTATCTCCAGGAAAGAAAGAATAAATCTGTCTGATAAAAACCAAGGCAGATCTGGAGACAGGCCTAAGAATAAGAAGAAGCACCATAGCAAAGCACTCAAGATGTTTCTCCTTATGAAAAGACACTGACAAAAAGAAAAAAAAAAGGACATCGGAAGCCAAAGATGGTAGATAGCATAATGAGTCACTACTATCCTTCCACGTTTACAAGCCATTTTTTAAATCAAACAACATTTGCCTTGAGGGCACTGAAATATTTCCTTTTGATCCAGCCAACATTCAGGATGATGGAGGTTGTGCCATTACCACAGACTTCT